GTGTGTTCCAGGCAAAGAAGGGAGAGTAGATTGTTCATGTCAGCGCCAGTGCGGGAGGATTTAGCAGCCTTGTGCCAGAAAACAGGCCATTAACTCCGCTAGGGGAGGTGGAAGAAAACAGTGTCCAGAGCTGTGATGGATGTACTTATTTCATTAGATGCAGGATCCCAATGTCCTGGCAATACTCATAGGATAAGCATCCCTTATCCAGTGAGTGAAGGTGGGTGCAAATAACTGACTATTAGATAAAATGTGATTATGAGGGACACCAAAAAGAGAGGTCTTGAGGGGCACATCTGAAGTCTTTGGAAGAGATTCAAATCTAGAATTCCAAGATGACTTCAGTGCCAAATAAGACCTGTACATGTGAAAGAGAGTAGCAGGGGCCTGCTTGCTCTTATCACGCTTAGGACTGATGTTTGGGAAAACTTTAACCAGTTTAACCTTAGAAAAGTGGAGGTGGTGACTTACTTTGAACTGTATTGAGCCATGCCTTGCACATGTAGATGGAGAATGTATTCAGTACTGTATAGTTTCACATATTGCTTCAGAAAGTTCAAATCCTTAAATCTGATCCCATAGGAATTTCACAGTAGCTAATGTCGTGCAATCCAGAGACAGTATAGAATAATACATCTGGGAAATGACAGCCCTTTTTAAACTTCTTTAGGAGCTCGCAGATCAACCCAGATATATGAAAGACCTTGAAAACTGTGGCTTCCCTATTCTGTACTTTCAGTACCTTCTTTTTTTTCCTCTTTTCCCTTTGGCTATCTCTTCCACATCTCTGGTTTCCATTTTCTACTCCTTTCTTCCTGTCCTTATATTATTGTAGGACTTATACAGTTTGCTTAGGTACCAAGTCTGTTATGCCATGATTATTGTTCACATTTGTTTATTATTGTTTTTGGTACCATGTAATATTGTTTTTTTTTTCCTGAAAAACCAATAAACAAATTGAACATAAAAGGAAGGAAGAAAGAAAAAATAAATGTATTAAGTGAATGACAACAAGCAAACTGCAGCCTAGGAGTGGCAGCCAGATGTGCCTGTATTCCCCCTCAGCTGGAACTGGAAGTTTTGACATTGAGTACATTGTAGCTTTAATACAAACTTCCAAATCAAAAAACAAATTTTGGGCGTTTATAATGCTTATATTATATTTGTGCTAAAATGATTCACATCTTGAGTTTTTCAGAGCCATTAACTTGGCTTAAAAATTTGCATCCACAGTAATAGAACAAATGATATTTCTGGAGTTTGCAAGTCATCACAAACAATTTCTCGGTCTTCATGGGATGAGGTGGCATATTCAGTGGGCGTCCCCTGCTCTTGGAAAATCCCATTTCAGTGGTTAGCTCTGGAAATCTCCTATTATTTAAAGATTACGAGCACAGTTTTACACAATTCATCAAGCAATTGAAGTTTTCTTGAAAAGGGGGTGGCTCCTAGTAGGCTGATGGGTAGGTATTCTGATTTTTGTAAAACATGATCTCTTAAGAGAGTGGCACTGTGGTGCAGTGCAGAGACCCTTGGTTCAATTCTGGATCTGAGGTGCTCTCTGTGTGGAAAAGATATACTGGCAGGTTAATGGGCGCTGGAGCATGTAAGTCTGTGCCCTGTGATGGACGGGTGTCCCGTCCAGGGTGTGTCCTGTTTTGCGCCCAATGCTTGTCATATCTTAATGATGTAATTGAACACACCATCTGAACCAGTTGTTTCAGGATATGAGAAATCTGTAATCTGAAGGCCACCTATAAAACATCCTGGACTGGGACTCTGAGTTAATTGTGAAAAGGACAGTGGACAGTGTCGGAAGCTGATGTATTTCAAGCATTTTAATTTAAGAAGTTACATGCTAAAGTGGTGGTTGCAGAGGCCAAAATATGATAATATTATTATGAAACAATATTAAAAGAATAAACTAAATCTTTTCAGATTTTGTACTGGTTTATTCTAAAAAAACCATTATTACTGTATTATTTTGTCACTCGTCCAGAGTAAATTATTCATATGATTACAATTTACATTGTTTTCCACTAGATATTTCAAAGATATTTTTACAATACCTTTTAACACATGAATATAAACCTGCCATCCATTTCCCCAAAAGGAAAGAATAGAATCGAAGTGGATTCTTGTTTTTTGCAAAAATATTAGAAATTAAATACTAACAGGAATAAACAATGAAGCACAAACTAGAACATGATTCAGAAAAAGTTTACTAGTATAGCACAGCAAAGGCGTTCAGGTGCTGTTACCAATGCGAAATAAAGTACCCTTCCTGTCCTTCACTGACAGCCTAAAGGTTAACAGTGAAACACAAACTGAAGGACACACGTGGAGGCTACTTGGCAGTGCATTAACAAATCTGAGAGCAGGACACAAAAGATTGTGGGAGAGTGGAACCAACAACTCATTCCAAAGCACTCTGATCCACCACTGAAATGCACTTCCACGTGGGTGAGCAGTCACTCTGGGCCTGCCACCCCACTGCACTGCAGATCAAACAGGAGGCACTGTTTAACCAGTCGAGTTAAGGGAACGTTATGGGGGATAGATTGTACAAGCCCAGTGAACAGTAGAAAGGATGCCCTGTGGAGGGTGAGGAACATGGGGGTGTTCAAAGACATCGAGGTTCCAGTCAAGGGAGCAGGTAGCCTGGCCCGGTCCATTGTTAAAGAGAACTATTACCTCAGAGATCTGTGGAGAGAAGCAGAAAATCTGTCTGAACTCCATGCAGATCTCTATAGACCAGCAAAATCCTCCTAAGTAATAGCTATATCTATGATGTCCCTCTTGGATCCATGGTAGTGATGCAGCATCCAACTCAGATGGTGCCCAGCCCAGACACCATCCGGACATGTGAGGAGGAGAGTAGGATAGTTTGGGCAGAACAGATGTATCTATCTGAGGGGCCAACACAGAGACACATGATGGCATGTGCAGCAGCAGGCTATGATGTAAGGTGTGAGTAGGCTAGGCTGAAGTAATAGGTCTTCAGTCTGGATTTGAATACTGAGATTGACTCGGCATCCTGAACATGGGGTGGGAGACTGTTCCATAAGCTAGGGGCCCTGGAACTAAAGGCTTTACCGCCAACTGTGTTTTATTAATGCATGGAATATGAAGAAGACCTGCGTTCTGTGATCTAAGTGGGCAACTTGGATTGTATATATTATTAAATTCCATTAGATAGACAGGTGCCTGACCTCTGAGAGCATCATAAGTAAGTAGAAGGATTTTGAAGTCCGCCCTGTACCTGACAGGAAGCCAATGAAGAGAGCTAAGTATGGGGGTTATATGGTCGTACTTTCTGCTCCTAGTAACAATTCTAGCTGCTGCATTCTGAATTAGCATTTCTGAGATGTGTTCATATACTGTATACTATTTTAGTTTTTTTGTGATTATCAGTATTTATTTGTCAAAAGACAATAAAGTTGTTAAAAATCGTAAAAGCCTAAAGCATCAGATGGAAAGAATACCTTTTAGTTACAAATTGTCATTGTGAGTGCACAGGACCTACTCTTGCAATGCATAGTGCCAGGGAATTCACAAGACGGTATGCTACAGTGCTACACACAAAGAAGAACAGAAGTGTTTTTTTTTAAATAAAAAATGAGTATTGATGAACATGGCATTTGCCAAGAACCCAGTAATATGTTTATTGTTAATTACCTAAAAATACCAAGTCGACTGCTGCACATTTCCCAACAGCTTGCACTTGGGTATCAAGCATTTTCTAGCAATCTAAAAGCATCAGATCTGCTCCCTTTTTTGAATTTTAACAAACACATTCATATGTTTGGCATCTGATGCAACACTCTGTTCAGTCTCACCCTCTACCTCTTTATTTGTGACCAGATGTGCACAGTTTTTGAAAATAGCTTGTTAATAATATTGGACTATATAAATACTCAGAGATAAGTTAGGAAGGCTACAGAAAGCAATTGAAAAACTTCCCTGAAATGAGCTCAGATTAGCAAATGATGGTGCAATTTCTGTTCCCTCCAACACATCTTGCATATTTACAAAAGAAGCTGTAGTATTTGAAAAATGGGATCTTAAACTCTGTGCTTCATCTCAATTCAACATTTTGCTTGATATAAAAGTATTCCTATGTGGTTACAATCTTTGACAGTCTGTCCCAAAACCATGTCAATTCCTCTTGCTAGCAAGCTCTTTAAGAGAGCTTTAAATGGGTTTAAACAGGTGGCTTTGCTGTTTTTCCCTTCCTGATTTCCAGGATGGTGTTTATATGTTACAGTAAGAATGAGAAACTGGCATTATTTAAACAGGGATTTCAATGTACTGAAATATTTCTTGAAATCCCCGATTGATTTTTAAGGGTTTTGTAAAGTTTGTGTTTTTGCTGTTACATACTGTATATGATGCATATCAATAAACCCATGTGTGTATACTGAAACATAATTCAAATCACATAAAACTGATATAATATTTTTTCATGAATGTTTTCTCAATTGATAATTTCTTTATGAGTGGTTATTGAAGAGTTGTGAAACATTTCATAATATGGTTACATTTATAGCAATTAGTAAGCTATATTAATAATGATAGGAATTTAATAGTGACTTATACAAATATAATTCATATCTATTAACAACTATTTATGTAAATTTAATATGATATTTGTTGTAATTTGTACTGTAATTATTTTGTGTGTGCTCTGTGGATGATATGAGCATCAAGATGTACTGTAACTTTGTTGTCTGATAACTATTCTCTGATGATCTGTCATGGATCAAATACATCAGGCTTGAAAAATTTACTCTTTTCAGTGCGTTCACTGTTGCTTTCCATGACTACAAGAATCGTGTTTTGCTCTTAGATGCTTGATAGTTGATGTAGATTTGACTTTATTATGAAGTGTTGCTGAGTTTTACGTGCATTTTCATCCCCATAAAATCTCACGTACCCGAAACTAAGTTGGATCCTCATTCAGTTTTCGTAACTTAAGACAAGGTTGATGTAATTCGTGTAATTGTAGAGAAGATTGTGGAGGGATTTTGTCATAATATGATTGCCATGGATCCTGTGCATATGGGCATTTTTGTGTTTTTCTTTGGACAAGCGCAGGGTATGTAAAAAAGGCATTTTACTGGGCTTCTAAATTTAAGGAGGGTAAAAGAGAGTAGATACTTTTAAATAGAAAAGCACAGGAAATGTTTATTCCTAGAACAAGGAGAGATTTCAGTGGAAAGCTTTGCATGAGTTAGGTCCGCATAACGGTTTGCGCATAGAATCTTTTCAACAGTCATTAGGAGATGAACTGGGATTATTTTGGCTCTCATCTTCATCACCAGTCAGGATTTCCCTCCTTTCCCCTTTTCCTCCAGATAATTAGGTTTTACTTTCTCATTTGCATTTGCTGATACTTTAGACAAAAAAAATAACATTATTCTCAAGCTGACGATACTCTCAACACATCACAACATTAACGTTGTTTTTTTAACTCTTTATCCATTAGCGTCTGCGCAAGGAAACACATATTTCTTTTACCGAAAGAAGAGCGAGAGGGTGACAATGAACTGCCATCAGACACATGATGGAGGCAGCACAGTGTGGTACATGGATTTCGATTTCAACAACAGCGTGGATGTTGTGGTGAACTGCGCAAATGAAAACAAACGAGGTAACGTCATCTGTGCAGATGAAATGGAAAAAATGCCGATCAAAAAAGAGAAATGTAAAAAGATAGAAGAGGCCCTTAAGTGTGGAAGACATTCCTTGGAAGTGTTGAATCTCAAGACGCTAAACGGAATGATTGCTTGTGGTAACAGTTCAAACCACCACAAAGTGGGGACTTTCATTGATTTTCGTGATGACGCCAACTATTTCTTCTTGGCACTGGCTGAAACACAAGGTGAGGCCACAGTTCTTTTTACTTTAAGATTTTACCTTTAAATTAGCTAGCTGTTTTCAGTTCAGTCAATTAACCCTAACCTGTGATACTGAAGGATTGGATTTTCCGATTTGTATTACATAGCTGTACCCAGAGCACTGTTGACCTGTAGCCTACGAACATTGCTAACATCTAGCCAGTTTCGATAAAAACATGTCTTTTTGTAGCATTTGTTAAAAATAAAATGTAGACAGCTGACAGGGGATAAAATGGCTGATTAACAAGCTATGTTTCATCTGATAAAAACAAATAAGAAGGAGTAGATTATTATAAATTGCCTAATAACGTTTAAGTCACAGAAAGGGCAGTAGGTTTGCTCCTAACCATAGGATGAGGTAATTTGTCAGTTTAGGCAGCAGGAGGAAGTGGGTAGTAAGCTGCGGTTTTTGTAACAAATGTCCTGTCAGAGCACTCGTGCGCTGCTGCAGCTGTGCCTTGACTTCAGTACTGAAATAAAGGCCTGATAATCTCTTCACCTCTGTAGCCTGGACTCTCTCTTTTTACTAGTCTCCAGAAGAGGTTTGACCTCATCTGTCCACCTTCAGATATGTTATAATTCATATATTGCACAAAGAGCTTCATAGCTGTGATCACCTAGAAACCATAAAGCCAGAGAGCACCAGTACATACCCCACACCAGCTAGCAGTGGGGAGGAGATTAACAAGCCAAATCATCAATGGGGATTATTAGGAGGCCATGATCGGTAAACACTAATGGGAAATTTGGCCGGGACACTGGGCCCCTGGGATTTTTGCCTGACCACAGACAGTCAGGACCTCAGTTTTATATCTCATCCAAAGGATGGCGCCTTTTTACAGTATAGTGTCCCCATTGCTATACTGGGCCATTAGGACCTACACAGACCACAGGGTGAGCGCCTCCCACTGGCTCTACTAATACCTTTTCCAGCAAAAATCTTGACTCTCCCACGAGGTCTCCTCTCCAGATACTGGCCAGGCTCGCGCCTGCTGAGCTATAGTCTGCTGCCAATTGGGAGATGCAGGGTGACATGTCTGCTAGCTTAAATACAATACTTCTTTCAAAGCCTATTAAAATGTTCACCATTAAACATAATGCTTTGAAATGATGTGTTTGGTACATGCAGACAAAGGGAAAATAGAGAAAATGAGAACATTGTTATAATTTGCTTGTTTGATTCTTAATCATCGTAATGTAATTCTGTCAGAGCTTAACTATTTTTAATGTTATTGTCTTCATGTCTATTTTCAGGCTCAGAAGTTGTGACCAAACCTGAAACAAGTTCTGAGTCATCTGTGCATGTAGCCATAGGAAATATAATTTCTCTTCCATGTAGATTTGATATATCACCAAAGAATCAGCCCTATATTGTGTATTGGCTATGGTTGAGTATGGAGCGCAGCATTTGTATCCATTCCTATGGCTATTTGTGTGGGAACTTCCACAACGACTCTCACTGTCGTGTTGACAGGGATATCTCGGAAAGGGTGCATTACCGATCTACGCCATTCCCCGAAACCCACTCCCACACCCTTAACATCACCAATGCCAGAGCTCCTGACAGTGGACGCTACCTGTGTGTGGTTAGTGTGCTTGAATCCGAAGCAAAAGTGAAGTGGGCTGTGATACAGAATGTGTCAGTTCTTGTGGAAGATGTAAAAATAGCTCTGCCACCTACAGAATCCCCTAATCAATACTTCAAAATACACCACCATGGTAAGTGACTGCAATACTAATCTCTCAATATTGTTGGGCTGTGTATATCTCTTCTCTAAGTTCACCACACCTTTTTGGGAAAATATTATATTAAATGTAATTTCTATGGTCTGTTGATGGAGTAATCTAAGATAAGTACCTTGCTCAGGTGTCTCACTCAGCAACCAAACCCACCTTCTCCTTGTGAAGGGCCAGAAGCTCTGAGTACTCCTCTACAGTCCTTCACATCTGTTTAGTGACCTACGAGGTCTAGAATAGGAGAACATTTAACAACGTCACTGCTATTTTCCTACTGGGAAAACAAAAAGAAAACATATATGCTTATCATGATGGTTAAGAATTTCTGAACTTGGCCAATAAAATATTTCAATTGGCTGCAGCAGTACTGTATGTACAAAAATAAACAGTGCTATAAATCTATTTATTTTTTCCATAACCTACTGATTGTAAAAAAAAAATGTTCCATTAAATCTGATATGTCTTCTTGGCCAGAACAAAACTTTCTTGTTTATTCGTAACAGGGATCTAGAATTAGGGACACTCAACACGAAGCTCTTCTCCTCTGTTGTTCTAATCTCATGTAGTTATTACGTCGTATGTATTGATCCTGCTATCTTGTGGTGAAATAATTAAGGAGCTGATTCTTGCAAACATCTACAATGGGGCAGGTTAGAAAAGTACTCTCACCATAGATATTTGGAAATTTGTTCAGGCCCTATACTAATATGTGTATTAATATATTAATTCAGGTGGGTAGCTGCGTCAGCATGCGTAGGCTGCAAAGGAACAAGTAATAGGTTTATTCCCTGCTGAAAAAAAGAAGAAAGAGAACACAACGTTTCGGCCGTGGAGCCTTCTTCAGGTGTGAGAGAGACAGAGCAGTAGGCAAAGGTAAAGTAGCGGGAGAACAAAGGTTGAGAGGGGGGAGGAGTGAGAGGCAGGAGCAGGGGACAGAAAGAGAGGCCAATCAAGAGGTGTGAAGTCAGAATGGGTGCAGAGAGGTGTGAAATGAAACTTCCAATGAATGTGTGATCCTAGCTGCAGAATAATTTTAGTTTCGGTGGTCTTTCTGATGTATGAGTTTGGAAAACCGTCTTTGAGAACACAGACAGAGAGATTAGAGTGGTCGTGGCCGTCAGAGGTGAAATGAGAAACAATGGGCTTGGAGAGATCTTTAATCTTCACAGCCCTGACGTGTTCTCTGAAGCGGTCTCCGAGTCTCCTTCCTGTAATAATTAATATATTAATTATTAATGTACCGTACTAAAATGAGTGTTTCACAACAGTTGCAGTGACAACTGCAACAAGAGCTTCAGATTCACTTGACTCTGTGGAGAGAAACATCAATTATTAATATAGTATTAATATTAATTTAGCCTTAATATAGCAATGTATGTTTATGTTCGCATCTTGGTTAAAAGTGATTAAAATGGAAGTATCAGCTTTTAAGTGGCCTGCTAGGTGACTGGGCAAAAAGACGAGGCAAAAAAATTGGTGTGTTAAAGAATGCAAACCAGATTTCTCCAACATTTTAAGGGTAAGGTGGTCAAAATGCACATTTAATACATTTTGGATCATAGAGGAAAGACTGCTGAGAAAATGTGACATTTGAATGCATCCCAGACTAAACTAGTATCTCAGCATAATGTGCCTTTGCGTAGGTGTAACCAACCAAGTGTTGTTTTATAAGGTTATGTTTTATTTTATTTCAGACCGTATTATCCTGCTGTACACTGTGGGCCCTTTGGTACTTGTGGCTTTCCTGGTTACAATAGTCTTGGTCATAAGGAAGAAGTCAGACACCAGCAAGGGTACATATGGTACTTCTCATTCTATGCTATAGAATAAGCATAAAGAGAAAGAATGTGCTTGAGACAATGTTAACACATGATGTCTCCTAACTCTTGAATTCTTACTTTTACAGAGCCGACATTTATAAGGACACAGAGGTAATATACAGTATCACTAACTCTTCATCTATTTTGCAAATATTCTATTATTTTTTATTATTGAAATTCACAAGGACATAATTATGAGGCCTTATTTATTTACAGACACCTGGAGAAAGATGACACTCAAGACTTTGAATGTGAGTACACTCTATCCTACAAAAAATCAATTTTTGGTTCATTTTCCAGAAACGTGGAGACAGACGTTACTGTTTTTTATTTTTGTAGAGACCCGAAGTAGATGGGCAGAAGTATCCTTCTTAAGATTCCAAAAACGCTAAAGACAAACAGAAACAGTTTTAATGTGAAATATAGATGCTAGTGACCTGGAGTAAACAGGTTT